TTTTTTTTTTTTTTTTTTTTTTGAGATAGAGTTCTTTGATCCTCGTTGCCAGGCTTGGAGTGCAGTGGTGCAATCTCAGGCTCACTACAACCTCCGCTCCCGGGTTCAAAGCGATTACTCCTGCCTTCGAGCCTACCAAGGTAGCTGGGATTAACAGGCACCCGCCACCCACGCCCAGCTATTTTGTATTTTTACCAAAGACGGTTTCACCCAATCTTGGTGAGGCTGGTCTCCGAACTCCTGACCTCAAACGCATCCGACACCGCCTCAGTCTCCCCAGACTGCTCGGGATACAAGTGTTGAGCCACCACTCCGGTCTCCTCCTCTTTTCTTTTTTATTTATTTATTTTTTTGAGACGGAGTCTCGCTCTGTCGCCCAGCTGGAGTGCTGTGGCCGGATCTCGCTCAACTTGCAAGCTACCGCTCGGGTTTCACCCCATTCTCCTGCCTCATCCCCCGAGTAGCGGGACTACAGACGCCCGCCACCTCGCCCGCGCTAGTTCTTTGATTTTTTTAGATAGAGACCGGAGTTTCACCGTGTTTACGCCAGGATGGCGTTCGATCTCCTGACCTCGTGATCCGCCCGTCTCGGCCTCCCAAAGGGCTGGGATTACAGGCTTGAGCCACCGCGCCCGGCCTATTTTCTTAAAGAGACAGTAGAAGGGGTGGGGAGATGATGGCAAGAATTTAGGATCAGACTGCTGTAAAATTCCACACACCCTCACTCCTGCGGGACTGGGATTAGGATGAGGAGACTAAAGCACTGTAAAGCACTGGCACCAGGTGCAAAAATTAAGGAGGTGCCAAAAAACTCAATAATCAAGATAAATAATATTTCAATACATTGTTTTTTCTCTCTCTCTGTGTTGTCTAGGCTGGACTACAGTGGCACAGTCTTGACTTACTGCAACCTCCACCTCCCAGGTTCAAGTTATTCTCGTGCCTCAGCCTCCCTAGTAGCTGGGATCACAGACATGAGCCACTATGCCAGGCTAATTTTTGTATTTTTCGTAGAGACGGGATTCCACCATATTGGCCAGGCTGGTCTTGAACTTCCGAGCTCAAGTGATCCGCCCGCCTTGGCCTCCCAAAGTGCTGGGATTACAGGCGTGAGCCACTGCGCCGAGCTCATGTTCCCTTTTAATAAGGACATCCATGATACTAGACTACAGCCCACCCTAATGATCTCATTTTAACTTCGTTGCCTTTGCAAAGACCTTTTTTCTAAATAGGGTCATGTTCTTAGGTGTTCGAGGGGGTTAGAATTCTGACTTATCTTTTGGGGGAGTGGGACACAAGAGAGGGATTAGCCATTGTTTGATGAATTGCAACTAATTAACCAAACCCCTATTGTCGGACTTTCAATTCTTCCCTCTTAACTAAGCAGCCAGGAAATCCTGGTTGCTACAATTTATCATAATGTTGCCTATTTACGTGTCTGTTTCTCCTTAGAGCAAAACCCACTGAATCTAATGAGATGTCCTCATTCTCCAGTTTCACTTTCTCTTCTCCAATTATTTTTTTGTTTTGTTTTGAGACAGTCTCGCTCTGTCACCCAGGCTGGAGTGCAATGGGGCGATCTCGGCTCACTGCAACCTCCGCCTCCTGTGTTCAATGAATTCTGGTGCCTCAGCCTCCCGAGTAGCTGGGATTCCAGGCGTGCCACCATGCCCGGCTAATTTGTGTGTTTTTAGTAGAGATGGGTTTTTGCCATGTTGGCAAGGCAGGTCTCAAATTCATGACCTCAGGTGATCCACTGCCCTGGCCTCCCAAAGTACTGGGATTACAGGCGTGAGCCACTGTCCCTGGCCTCCAGTTCTATTTTGAGCTAAGGTGACCATACACCTGACTTTGGCTAGGATGGTCTCAGCATATGCCCCCACCCCCTCAGTGCCCCCTTTCTTGCTCAAAAGTGTCTTGATTGACCAGGCACGGCGGCTCACGCCTGTAATCCCAACACTTTGGGAGGCCAAGATCAGCAGATCACCTGAGGTCTGGAGTTTGAGACCTGCCTGACCAACATGGCGAAACCCCATCTCTACAAAAATTAGCCCTGCATGGTGATGTGTGCCTGTAATCGCAGCTATTTAGGAGGCTGAGGCTGGAGAATCTCTTGTACCCGGGAGGCAGAGGTTGCAGTGAGCCAAGATCACACCATTGCACTCTAGCCTGGGCGACAGGGCGAGACTCCATCTCAAAAAAAAAAGTGTCCAAATTTTGACTATAAATTATAGGGTCACTCTGTCTTGAGCTTCAACATAGTCAGACTCCCGCGTCCAACACTCACCCAAAACTCTTCTCACTGATGACCCTTCTGCATCCAGTTCCAAGGTCTGTCGGTCCGTCCCAGCAGTCTCCATGGCATCTGACCCGCCTGATCCCTCCTGCCCCAGGGAACTCTGTCCTCAGACCATGCACTTCCCTCCCACCTGTCTGGGACATCCCTCAGTCTTCCCTTCTCTCCATTGCTGGCCAAGGGCTGGGTCCTCCAGCCTCCTCCCTCCTTCACCCACAGCCCTCCCCAGCGGGCTCCAAACCCGGTCTACACCCAGCATTGCCCACAGTCCCGTTTCCAGCCCGAGTCTCCCTTGAAGTCCAGACGCCATGTTCAGCAGCCCCTGATGTCTCCACGTTGGGGTCTCAAGGGGTCTCACATTTAATGCAGTCACGTTGGTCCCAACTGGACCCCAAACCGTTCCTCCCATGTCCACCACCTAGGCTGAGGGGAGGTCTGTCCTTCCAGGGACTCAG